AAAAAAACGGAAGTACGTCAACCCAGCAACGAGTTCAGATGCACTTTAACAAGCATTCTTCTAGTTGGAACTAGTTGAATGTCAATTGACACCAAAAACATAATGAAGTGATCTCGACACAGGAACAAGAAACCCGAAGGATTATCTAAGGAAATAGAAACAAATGACAGAAACGAAAACCAACTACAATTGCACGGTGAAGACAAATATTTTCCATTACATTTGTCACAAACAACCAAAGCATGCGGTTTAGCTGTTTCATGGACATTGCTATGCAGCCCCCCGCCCTTATTCCATAGGAACTACATTGATCAGTAGCTGGACCTTAATGTTTCCAAAGCGAAGAATAATTCTTTCGTGGAATCTACTCCGGCTACACGGTATTCGGTCAGGGAAGCATACCCTGAAGCTAGTTATTGATCATTTATATTTTTAAAGTGGGGGGATTTTATATTTGCTGCGCAAACCACGGCAAGATCGCGTTGATTCCGAGCGGCTCTAGTGTTGACCTCCGTGACATGGGACAACTTTGATATGAACTGATATTCATGAGCACCAGACCCGATTCCAACGTGGCATTTAGATTAATCACTCACATTAAAGTACGAGTTACGTCACGTACGCACGCGTGCACACACACACACACACACACACACACACACACACACACACACACCATCAACCAACGATCAGTGCTTTCTGATCCAAGAGGAGCGTGTGATCTAATCGATCGTGAGGCTGTTTCCGGTTCCTTGTTTTGCAAAGGAATGTTTCAACGGAATGTTAATCTGGTGCTGCGTGACAAAGTCTCGACAGTGTCTGCATTATTTGTAATGGCGGTTGCAGGTTAGAGAAAAATCATATAAAGACCAACAGGTGTTGTGCAGACGAACAACACAGATTAGGTGCTCCTCGCAGTTTGTTTCTGTTTCGCATCAAATCTTAATAGAGATTTTTTTGACAGAGCCACGTGGCTCGGGAGTGCAACAGATAGATTGAACGAAATTGCCCTCGTTGCTGGGAATTTTGTGTACACACACACAGTTAGCTAGACTGTGAAATCTGTACGTGTGTGTTGGCCATAGAGATTCTCTTTTCTCCTTCAAAATAGGCCCAGACCCTGTCCATCTTACATATTCTCACTTTTCTTGTATGCATTATGAGTTTTTTGCTGCGAGCAATCACGTTCACTGTACTGTATTTCGCCATACGCTGATAATAATGATGATGAAGACCGATTACACTGAATCTAATCACCCACTGGTTTCAGTTTGTCTTACGCTTTGATCCACTGATCTTCAGCGAAAACTGCAAACTCGATTAGCTCACCATCGCTTGTGTTGATCCAACTGTTTACGTCTATTGTGGGCGATGGTGTCCCTGTGGTCACGCGGTCAAATTATCATCCCTGGATGTGTTCGAATATCATCACCACCATCCGATTTCCCCCATTCTGTGTGTTGTTTGAAAGCATCATCATCATCATCATGGAACAGCGAGATACAGTGAAGCGAACTTCACTGATAGCTGCCGGCCCTTTGATTGGCCGCTTGCCCATACCTGAAAATTGTACCTTTGTATATTCAAGAAGTAAAAGACGAACAAACGAAAAAATAAAAAAATCTAAGGTGTCAGCAAGGAGCTCAACAATGTGGAGGAGTAGAAAAACAATGAGATCACACTAAATGTGGAATGCATTAAATAATAAGCTTCACTTGAATTTCCGAGCCTGAAGCCCGTCCGTGAAAGATTCCGGTCAGGCATAGATGGCGTCTGTAATGAAAACTCAAGAAAAGCCTTACAAAGAACTATGAACACTGGTGGACAAACAATTGCTGGTGAAATGGGCTTAGTCGCTGCGCCAGGGCGTAGTCAAAAACCATACCAAATGATTCGTAGCATCGACGATCTTCAATACGCACGTTAAGTGCCCGGCATAGTCAGAAAACGAAGGTGGGTAGGTTGGGATAGAACTTACCGGAATCCGTCAATGCTTTGCGATTCAATTCGCCCAGTGCAAACAAAATGCACGGAGTGGTCAGTAAAAATTCGCTGATAGACGAAAAACGCATCCGAGTTCGGCGGCTTTCTGTTGCACTGGGACTTGACAAGTCACGGGTAATCTCTAGAATGTAGAGAACCTGTGAAAACAAAAATGAGATGCGATGGATAAGTCAATGGCAAGCGAAATGTATTCAATGGGTGCAGTGTGTGATCGTCACGACAAGACGTATTAGTTACAAATTTGTTGCCTTCTTTACTCATACCAAGATTTGCTCGGTTATTCAGTGTTGTAACTGCTTATGTAGATGGCTGAGCATCTAATTCTGTTAGTAAAGATAACTGGATTTGACGAATAGGCAGTGGTTGTTTCGATGGAGTTGCTGATAGAGGAAACAATGATTGGATCGGTTGCGTAAACGTTTAACAACAGAGTCCAAGCGCTTGCTAACTAAGCCACCGATGTCATTAGCTATGTGTATGGCAGCCATAAAACAGCCCTCATCTTCGGGACAGTATACAGGTGAACAAATGCAGTGAACCGAACCTGGATACAGTGCGGAGACCTGTTGTTGTGACTTCTCTATCCAAATTTATAACGAGAAACAGTAGTGTTTTCCACAATATGTTCCCCGCTTTAGATCACAAGTTGCTAGCTCCGACATCGGACTGTTTCTTTTTCATTATTTCGATGAATTCTGAGTCAGGTATGATCAATCATTTTCTAACCACGGCACCGGTGGCCTCTTACTACGTGAGCTGCAAAACTCCACCAGCAACCGAACCAACTTCCCTGGTTTGCTAAAGGCCGATATATATATATATATATCATTTGCTACATAATATTANATAATATTACTCGGCGCTGTAGCAAACTAAGCGACAGCCCTCCGTTCGCCGCCCCACCCCACACATACCTCCCTCCGCCACCCTACCCAAAGATGTCACAGAGACTCGAAAATCATGCTTTACAAAAGTATGCCATGAGTAGTCTAGGTGAGAAATCCCAATACAGGTTCATGCACTAGAGGTAAGTGCAATCGCAGGTAAGCTATAACCATATAAGGTTAACCATTGCCGTATGGTTCCCATTTCGATTTGCTCAATGAACGTAACAGTGAAACCCAAAAGATCATTATCATCATTATCATTATTAATATTCTGGCTACTTAGTTCGACATACGACCAAGGTCTCAGTTTGGAAGAGACTAAATTAGATCGTTACACCATGGTGATCGGTGGTAAATAGG